AAAGAAATCAAAGAAGGCCTAAACAAATGGAGAGATATACCATGTTGATGGACTGGAAGATTCAATTTTGTTAAGATATCAGTTCTCCACATATAGATCTCTGGACTTAACACAATCCTAATCAAAATTCCAGCATGATTGTATAGATATCAACAAGCTAATTCTAATATTTATATGGGAAATCAAAGGAACTAGAATAGCCAAAACAGTTTTGAAAAAGACAAATTTGGAGCACTTACACTATATGATTTCAAGACTTATAATAAAAGCACAATAATCAAGATAGTGTAGTATTGGCAAAATGATAGGCACATAGATCAATGGAACAGTCTAGAGTCTAGATATAGATCTACACAAATATGGTCAACTGATTTTTTACTACAGCATAAAAGTAATTTAATTTAATTTAATAATCTTTCTAGGCTATTCAACAAATAAATCCAGAATAATTGGACATCCATACACAAAGAAATTAATCTCAACCTATATCTCAAACTTTATAAAAAAATTAATTCAAAATGGATCATAGGCCTAAATGTAAAGTGCAAGACTCTAAAACTTTTAGAAGAAAACAGAAGAAAATTTTGGGAAGCTTAGATTGGGCAATATCTATATTTCTTAGATATAAAGCATAAACCATGTAGGAAAAAGATAAGTTGGACATCATCAAAATTTTAAACTTTTGTTCTGGGAAAGATAGTGTTAAAAGAATGAAAACTTAAGTTACAGACTGGGAGAAAATATTCACAAATCACATATCTAACAAAGTTCTTATATCCAGAATATTAAACAATTCTCTAAACTCAAAGGTAAGAAAACTCCGCAATGGGCAAAAAATCTGAACAGAACCTATACCAAAGAAAATGTATAAATAGCAAACAAGCACACAAAATGATACTCAACATCATTAGTCATTAGGAAAATGCAAGTTAAAACACAATGAGATACAATGGCTTTTTATTATAGAATGGCTATAATAAAAATTTTCTAAACTGATAATACCAAGAACCGGCAATGAAAAGAAGCAATTGGATGTCTTATACACTGCTAATGGTAATGGAAAATGGTATGGCTGCTCTAGAAAATTTGGCAATTTCTATAAAGTTAAGCTTATATTCAAAATATCACCCAGCAGACTTCATTCTAAATATTACCCTCAGATCCTCATGGGTAAAAACAGAGCTTTTCCTCTATGGTCAGGAACAAGACAGGAAAGCCCACTCTCACCATTACTATTTAACATAGTATTAGAAGTCTTAGCCTCAGCAATCAGACAACAAAAAGAAATAAAAGGCATCCAAATCGGCAAGGAAGAAGCCAAACTGTCAATATTTGCAGATGATATGATACTCTATGCAGAAAACCTGAAAGACTCCAACAAAAAATTGCTAGGACTAATACATGAATTCAGCAAAGTTGTAGGATATAAAATCAACATAGAGAAATCTGTTGCATTTCTATATACAACTAATGAAGCAGAAAAAGAAATCAAGAAATCGATCCCATTTACAATCTCACCAGAAACAATAAGATACCTAGGAATAAACCTAACCAAAGAGGTAAAAGATCTGTACTCTGAAAACTATAGACCACTTATGAAAGAAATTGAAGAGGACACAAAGAAATGGAAAAACATTCCATGCTCATGGATTAGAAAAACAAACACTGTTAAAATGTCTATATTACCCAAAACAATCTACACATTTAATGCAAACCCTATCAAAATAACACCAGCATTTTTCACAGAGCTAGAACAAACAATACTAAAATTTGTATGGAACCACAAAAGACCCTGAATAGCCAAAGCAATCCTGAAAAAGAAAAGCAAAGCTGGAGACATCATGATTCCGGACTTCAAGCTCTATTACAAAGCTGTAGTCATCAAGACAGTATGGTACTGGCACAAAAACAGACACATAGATTAATGAAACAGAATAGAAAATCCCAGAAATTGACCCATAACTATATGATTAACTAATCTTCAACAAAGCAGGAAAGAATACCCAGTGGAAAAAAGACAGTCTCTTCAACAAAGGGTGTTGGGAAAATGAGACAGCAACATGCAGAAGAATGAAACTGGACCACTTTCTTACACCATACACAAAAATAAATTCAAAATGGATGAAAGACCTAAATGTGAGACAGGAAACCACCAACTCCTAGAAGAGAACACAGGCAGCAACCTCTTTGACCTCGGCTGTAGCAACTTCTTACTAGACATGTCTCAGGAGACAAGGGAAACAAAAGCAAAAATGAACCATTGGGACTTCATCAAGATAAAAAACTTCTGCACAGTGAAGGAAACAATCAACAAAACTAAAGGCAGCCTATGAAATAGGAGAAGATATTTACAAATGACATTATTTGATAAAGGATGGGTATCCAAAATCTATAAAGAACTTATCAAACTTAGCACCCCAAAAATAAATAATACAGTTAAAAAATAGGCAGAAGAGGAGTGTCTGGGTGGTTCAGTCAGTTGAGCTTCTGGCTGTTGGTTTCAGCTCAGGCCATGATCTCATGGGTCATGGAATTGAGCCCTGCATGGGGCTCTGCACTTACCAGGAAGTCTACTTGAAGATTCTGTCCCTCTGCCCCTCCCCCAACTCATGCATGTGCTCTCTCTCTCAAATAAATAAATAAGTCTTTAAAAAAGAATGAAAGAAAAGGAAAGAAGGAAGGAAGGAAGGAAGGAAGGAAGGAAGGAAGAAATGGGCAAAAGACATGAATAGACATTCTTCCAAAGAAGACATCCAGATGGCTAACAGACACACGAAAAGATGCTCAACATCACTCACCATCGGGGAAATGCAAATCAAAATCACAATGAGTTACCATCTCAACCTGTCAGAATGGCTAAAATTAACAGCACAGGAAACAACAGATGTTGGCGAGGATGCAGAGAAAGGGGA